AAACTATACAATAATACATATATTATGTACATATATACATAGATCGATTTTAGCATTTAAAACTGCAGAACCCTCTGTGATGGTGATAGAGTAATTGATGCCCTCGACACATGAAACGCACTCGGCAAAAGCAGAAGATTACCTAATCATCGCCATTACAGGATTTATCAAACAGCACCTGGATTACAACGAGCGCTGCTTTCTCATATCCTTTCAGCTGTGTGGTGAAATGGGGAAAAGCCATTACAGCAAACCTGCGCGTGTATGCTCAATAATAATCCATACGTGGGAATGGGAGAGGACTTCAAATAGCAGCCGTAGCTCAGCCAAAATTGCCAGTAGACTCTGAAAAAAAGCTATTAATTTCTTCAGTCCTGGATCCCCCTATGTGGCATTTACACTCATTGGTTTCCCCAAAGGTATTTGACTTGGTAGCTGCAGTATCCATTTCAGATGGCCTACGCGGGGAAAGACAGCAAACGCAAGACGGTTGCCACTTGAGGCTGGCTTTACTTGACCTTTCATGTTGTGTTAGGAGTGGAGAGGCTCTCAGAGACCGAATAAAACACCTGTCAGACATGATCAGTTTGTCTAGGTGAAAGCACCTTCCACACGTGATTCTGCTGTGCAGGAGAGCAACAGATGTGTCTCTCTTCTGCTGATTTGCTGAGAAAGATGTTGTCTCTTAATAGGAAAAAGAAAAAAAAAATTCAGAGAGAAAAAAAAGAGAGGATTGAGAGGATGCTGGAAAATTTGAGGTTAGGTGTGTTTGCATGCATGTATATTGCAGGCAAGCTGTGTGACTTCATAATTCACAATATTTTGGTTTGTGTGGAGTAGTGCTAGGTGATATGCATAAGATATTTATTCATTCATTCATTTATTATATATATATATATATATATATATATATATATATATACATTACATATCCAAATATTTATCTTATATATTCCACATTTGCCAAATTATTCACCGCATGATATATGATTTTTGTCATATCACTCAGTCGTACGTAAAGATTTCTCTTATTTCTCTCTTTCGGCTAAATTTATTCTCCGAAGGTGCCATTTTTTTAATCTAGCCAGAACACGGGCGAAATAATTAAGTACATGAAGTACTTCAATAGGTCTGTAGCAGAGGGGCCGATATACTCCAGGAAGCACATCATGAGATAACACGGTAGGCAGTAAGAAAAAGAGAGAGAAACAGAGGAGTGCAGACGTGTTAAAACAAAGAGGGTACAGACAGAGGGGGACACATGGAAGTGAAAAAGAGGCGAGCTGAGGAGTGAACTGACCACATAAGTAATGACACACAGAGCAGAGTGCAGCTCCTCTGACAGCTGATAAAGGCGGCTGAGCTTTAGAATACCTAATCATTGGCCACGCACAACACAGCTCCTCTAAAATGTGTGCTTGGATGCATCTGCTGGCCCGAAGTCAAACGGCTCAAAATGTTAAAATAAACATGATTTAGAGCACCTCTTTGCTCACTCTGGCTGTCAGACAAGCATGGATAGGGCAAATGGGCTGAAAGAGCTAAAGCACTAATGTACTAACACCACCACAATGAACAAAAAGCTCTAAGCTTGCTTTTACTACGGTTGGGGAAAGAAAATGTGATACAAAAGTTTTATGTTTTATGCAACTTTGTTTTCTAGATTCTGGGACTTTCTAAGCCTAATTAACTAATTAAAAAAGTGTGAACGATAAGGAAATAACACATGTTATTGTCATAAAACTGAATGCTTCTGCAGTGAGAAGTAGTAGTGCTAAGAATTGTTTTCCTTGTTTAAAAAAGGTTTCTTCAGTACACTGTTAACAAGCAATCTGTTTTACATTTAAATTAGGAATATTTAATCAATGAATCACCATCACCTCTCGTGTTTGAAGTGTTAAACTAATTACCTGTGAATTATCTACCTTGTAATGCTTTTAGCTTTCCGTGCTTTTAGCACTATTAACATACTTTGCAGACTGACAGCTTGACTGTATAAACACACTGGGTTTTATAACAAAGAAAAAAGTTATTATCCATAAAGAGATTTGCTAGATTTTTATCTTTGAAAGAAAAAATAAATAAATAAATCTGAATTTCTTTAATGTAGCTTCTTTAATGAGTCCAATCAAAATCTTATGCAACTAACCACATGCAAAACACATTTATTTATATTACATAAGGCTTATAACCCAGCAAAATTATATTTCTTGAACAACCAATTGGCGCTGCCGTGATGACTTCATAATGTAGTTTGTCTATAATGCAGATCACATTTAAAGTCATATAAAAGCTAGAACCATATAAAATATATAAAAATAAAATCAACTTAATTGTTTAAAATGCCATTTAAATGTGAGTTCAAGTTCAATATGCTGTTGTTGTTTGCTACACAAATACACTCTTAAAATAAGGGTCTTTATTGGCATCTATGGTTTCATGAAGAACCATGAAGCTTTCTAACATCCATGGAACCTTCCACAAATTATTCTTTATTGTTAAAAAATGGTTGTTTTAAGAACTGTCCACTGAAAGGTTCTTTGGGGAACCTAAAATGGTTCTTCTATGGCATTGCTGCAAAAAAAATATATATATATATTTGTGTATCTATCAATATTTGTGTAGAAGAAGACATTCCAGAAGAAGATCTATGCCATTTGCCTTGCACAGAAGAAAGGGAAACATTGTGGCTTGATTGTGATTGTGCCTTTATCAGTTAAAATGTTGTCCAAAAAGAGTGTATGTCTTTCCATTTTATAAAACCATAAAGCAACATGAATGTAAAACAGACTGGCGACTATAGGCATCTGAATCATAGGAAAAAAAGGTGGATATAGAAAGAAATTGAAATAAATACTTGCTCTTGCTCTACTTGCAACAAATTTCTGCTCCACTCATCATCTCAACTGTGAAGCAAGGTGAAATGACTATATTGGTACAGGAAGGTTTTTTTTTTTCTGGCAGAAGCTTTCTATCATTGAGGAACAAATGAATTCCAAAGTGTATCAGAAAAATGTACAGCGGAATATTAAAGCACCTGTCTGTGATGTAAAACTTCAAAGCTGAGTCAAGCAACACGGCAATAACTCAGTATAAAGAAGTATGCCGCCAACAGAGTGACTCAAACAGAGGAAATTTCCTGACATCAATCCTGCCCAAAGCTGTTGCGGTACCAGAAGCAGACCAGACCAGCAAGATGTCCAAACAAACGTAACGGCTGAGATTAATACCAAAAATGGAGGTTCAAATAGGTCCTTTTGGGCTATTGGTTAATGTTAACAAACATTGTTTTAGGATTGTTTAACTTACACTCTTACACTTTTTCTTTTATTCTGGTAACTCTCACTTTTCATTAACTCTCAATAAATAAAATTAAGTTCTGTCCTACCCACTTCATTGAGTAACCCATTTCACTCGTAAACACATCACATTATTGGAGTAAAATAGGTTATGAATGCAACTTCATGCAAAAAAACAACAACAAAAAAACTGTGCAATATTCAAGTAAAACATAATTTCACTTTGTTGAGAGTTGGCTGAAAATAAATCAAGTTTTCAATACATCAACCAAATCTGAAGCTAATAGAAATGCTGATTTAAGGTTGTATGCCCCATGGCCATAATTTCATGTTTTTAAAGAAGTATTTATCACATAAGCCGGGTGGCGATATCCTAGTGCTCAAGGCTCTGCGCTGGCGCTGCAAATATTGCAGGTGCAATCGTAGATAGGGGTGACCCGTGAACTGAGTTACTAAAAACCCATCACCACTTTGCCCTTGAGCCAGACAAAGTTTAGCACAAAAATAAGACTTTTGTATTATTTACATTTTACACTTGCATTTTGTTGCATACACGTTCACACTCACTCACAAATTATCCCTTAATCATCTCATTTATCTATATTACGTTTCACTTCAAAAACTAATTTTTGGTGGTAATTAAAAAGTAATGACAACAGCAACTTGTTTGTATGATTGTGAGCCAAAAAAATGATTCTTATTCAGAACTGTGTCCATTTTTTTAAACTACTGGAACCAGAATGGTTGTAACGGCATTTAAATATGGATTTTAATGCCAAGTACTCATACAGCAAGACCCAAACTGTCCAATTCACCAAAATGAGAAAGTCATTTTTAACGAATTACATTAAAAAACCTGCTTGAGTCAGTTAATGACTCACTCAGTAGAGCAGTTATTGGTTTATTCACTAAACTGCAACAAATGAGCCATTTTTAATGTCTATCAAGAATCAGTCTCATACTGATGATTCTGTTTGAATCAGTTTAAGGAGTCACTCCCTCACCAAATAGGTTCTTGACTGATTCTTATTCAGAACTGTGTCCATTTTTTTAAACTACTGGAACCAGAATGGTTGTATGGTTTTAAATATGGATTTTAATGCCAAGTACTCATACAGCAAGACCCAAACTGTCCAATTCACCAAAATGAGAAAGTCATTTTTAACGAATTACATTAAAAAACCTGCTTGAGTCAGTTAATGACTCACTCAGTAGAGCAGTTATTGGTTTATTCACTAAACTGCAACAAATGAGCCATTTTTAATGTCTATCAAGAATCAGTCTCATACTGATGATTCTGTTTGAATCAGTTTAAGGAGTCACTCCCTCACCAAATAGGTTCTTGACATATTTATTGAACCAGAAGTCATTATTTCCGACATGTCCAACTCAAAATGAACTAAAACGAGTCAAATTTCTCATGAGACTAAGTAAGTGATAGAAAAGACTAAAAGAATCAAAACACTGTAGGATCAGAAATGAAACAATCCCTATTGCTAGAAGCGTGTGCAATGCAAAGCCATTTGGTCTGTCAAGTAATAGAGATGTTCTTCAAGAACAGAAATGCAAAATACATTTCAGTCAAACTACATACCAGTGCCAGTTAAATTCTCGGGCTGGAGCTACAATATACGAGGAGACTTAATGTAACTACTCAACGTAAGACACAGCTGGAAAAGCACAGGATAAGGAACCGCTCACCGGATCTGTGAGCTCCAGGATGCTGGCGCGGTACGTGAGAGGTTTGCAGTCACGGGTGTTGTCTACCAGGCTGCAAGGCAGAAACATTGGGCCCAGGTCATCCCCGTCCAACACATCCACCGTGAGCGTGGTGGTGGCGGTGAGCCGGTCCTTTGGGTTTGGAGCTCGGTCCTGAAGGGAAACACAAACTTTGGACTTAGGGATGGAGTTTGAATCCAACAAGATTCCAAACTTACACAGTAGCCAATAAGACATTTTACTGACAGCCAGGAGAAAACTGTACATCTCACTTACTCTTCCAACCTCCTGACTTCAAGTCCTCCATTTTTTGTGGTTAATTATCTTTGTTTTACTTGGAGTGAAGTTGATTGCAAAAGGCATTTCATGTTGACATCAAATCCAAGATAATGAAAGGTGTGGTCACATTAGCAAAAGATTGATTAATTTTTGCAGGCAAATAAGGTCCATTAACTAATGTCAAAAGTGTAGAGATGTATCACAGCTCACACATACAATAAGTCCCTTTCAAATCAAGCAGCTTTCTTTTGGTCAAGGCGGTGAATTCATGTGATCAACTGGAACCTTCTGCAAAATATGTGTGGGGAAAACTTTCACCCTCAAACAAAATTCCCAGTTGTGTGGATTCCTATTGAAATGACTGGATTTCATTGATGAAAATTAGCCAACAACAGTAAATGTGGCCACACCTTAAGACATCAATTATACTTCAATTATCATAAAAATAGTTCCACTTTATTCCAAGTCTTATAAAGCCTTTACCTGAGGAACTTACTGAAATCCAACCAACTAAGTCCAACCAATGACATCTAGCCTCAATTAATGGCAAACACATGGCATGATGTGTTTAAAGGCATTGTTTCTGAATTGAACACAACACCAAATGAGATTTGAGAGATTTGGAGGAGATTTCCAGTGAATAAAAGCTTCAATGTCAGACTGTTCCTCACACAAAGTTCTCATACAACTTCATAAGAAGTCCTTTCAGTTGTATAAACTACTTTTTTAGATCTTTTTTGAAACATTTTTGAGTTTGGCAGAGAAAATTACCATTTACTTTTGTTTTATGGTCAAAAGAAGCTTGGACACTCTGTCTAACATCTCAGTTTGTGTTACACAGAAGAAAGAACAAGACATGCAGGGTTGGAACGACATGTGGTTGAGTAAATCTTTCATTCTTTTATCTACTGTATCTCTCCTACTGTTTCTCCTCCTCCCGCACAGACTTACGTTGGCCTGAACGATGACCAGGTAGCGTGTGATCTCTTCATAATTCAGCCTCTCTCTCAGAACCACTGATCCAGACAGGGTGAGAGGGATGTCGAATGTCCTGTTTGTGCTCTGTGGAGAAGAAAAGGATAGGTCAAAAGGGTTTCCCTCTTAAAACACACACATGCACACAAAGGCTCACACACTCCCAGCCTCATGAGATATTCATCATCTATCTGCTTCAGTAAGAAGAGAATGCTGATGGGACAAAACTGCTCGACTTTCAAAACCTCACCCTTTTTAGCAATACAGGTGGAGATGTAAGACTTTAATTAAAAGGGACATGGAGACAGGAGGCTCCTTGCTCTTTTGAAATCTAAAGTGTTTGATGTGTAAATGGTGTAAAACCTTAATTAAGAAGTGAACATACAGTAGTAGTCTTGCATAGCCAGAGCACTGAATACCAGCATAAAGTCTTGTACAAATTGCAGGTTATTCCGGCCAAGAATCACTCACTTAAACTCAGTTATCTTCAGAATATAGCAGACCAAGTGAACCTAGGTGTATGACTTTCATTATTTTGTACGGTGTGGTGATTTTTTTGTTAAATTCATGTGTTTTATAATGTTACTTAAAAAATGTGGTTTGAAGTGTTTAGCTCCTCTCACTCCACTTATGGTAATAATGCTGCTCATTAAGAAGCAGTATGAAAATGTCACCAATTTGCATGCGTAATACCACCATATTAATTTAAATGATTCGCTGAAGTCATTTTATTTGCATTTCACGACAAGCATATTCTCTGCTATATTTTATTTGGTGCATTTATTGCTGTTTTGTCAGAATACTTTCATGTTGCTGAACTGTGCTATATAATTATTGGCGATAATCAATTATGCACAATAATGTATTCACAAAGGTTTAGGTTTTGTGAAGTAAATCAGCTGAAAAGCACCAGTCGGAAACTCTCTGTACTCCATTTTGCAGACCAAGACCATATTAAAAATGTATAAAGAAAAAGAAAATAATACAAATATGTGATATTGTAGATGCATAAACCTGAAGAGAAACATAAAACTACTGATGTCAATAAAATAAAACTGTAAAATCACAAAAAATATAAATAAAATAAAACAATACAATTGTGATTAATCTTATGATAAACTATATCTGACCAATTGTTATAAATTAGAAAAATTGGCTTATACTTTATTTTAAGGTGTCTTTGTTACATTGTAATTACACAAATAAGTACCGAGTAATTGTTTTAGTTGCTTGTAATTATGCATAATTTACTGTTATTTTCATTGTAAATACTGTACATGCATAAAAAGGACACTGTAAAAATAAAATCTTACCGACAATTGTATTAAGAATGACTTATATTTAGAATATTACCACAGGCTACTACTAATTATTTGTATTATTATTGTATTTTTTATAACAATGCATATTGTTACATATACGCATGTTATTACTCAAATTATTTTTTAAAACGTTAGTTAATCAAAACAGGAGTCTTTTACATGTAGTCTTTTTAAGATTTTTTATATACATATGTATTTATGTGTTTTTTTTTTTTTTACATAATGCTCTATGTCTCTCTCATACACACACACACACACACACACACACACACACACAAATAGAGAACAATTGCACCTCTATTAGCATATGTTCCACTACAAGTGCCATATTGCGTGAGAGAGGAAGTAACATAACTACATTCTTTATCAGAAGAGTTATGGTAGCTCAGTTGCTTTCAAAACAATGAGCTAGAGCTACATTGCTATTTTATTGTCATAAAAGCAGACTGTTGATGATTAGCCAACAAAAGCATTTTTTTCAGCATAGTGAAGCCTCCTCCACTTACATTCATTCATAAGAACACCTCTGGCCTCCTTCCCTGATGTACATTCCATTGCCTTTTTTTTTAGCTAACCTTAGAGGCTTGCCTTCAAGCAGCTTTGGAAGGGTACAATGGAGCTAAAGGCACACCTTAAAGGGATTTTTTTTATCGCAAAAATGAAAATTCTGTCCGCATTTACTCAACTCATGTGGTACCAAACCCATAAGACTTTCATTCAACTTTGAAACACAAATTATACAGATACAGATAATGAAACCAAAAGGTTTTTGTCCCTCCACTGAAAGTCCAAGCAACCACAGCTTCCAAAAAAGGTCATAAAGGCACTGAGCAGTTTAATCCAAGCATTGCTTTACAGTATATCATGAACAGATTTAATTAAGAGGATTATTTTACTTCAAAATTAAGTTTTTATGATCAATACTCTTACATATAATCTCAGAAAAAAAGGTACAAAAGTTACAGTTACTGGGGCGGTATTCTTTTGAAAGGTACACCTTTGTTTCTTATTTACCCTTAAATGGTGCATATACCTTACAGGTACATACAGGCCTTGGTTGCAAAGGTGAGGATTTGGAGATGAATTTTTGGAAACATTCCAGGATTTTTTTTTTTATTATTATTTTTTTTTTTCCGGAACATTTTGGAAAATTTCGGAAACTTTTACATTGCAAAAAGTGGTATTATCAATAAATGATGACAACATACAGTATGTTTTTTTACATTACTTAAACTCATCAAAATAAGTGCAGCAATTTTCAACTTGTGTATTTTAAATCAGTTTAATGTATTCTAAGTTAAAATGACTTCAGTGACAGCTGTTGTACATTTTTTTAGTTTTGTGAAAGTGTAGACTGCATCAAACATGGTTTGTTTCAATCCAGAAAGTTTCAATCCAGTAAATGTTCATCTTGAAATGATACCAACTATGCAAAACTTATTCCACATGTTTACTTTGTAAAAAACAAAGATTTCAAAGCAAAAAGACATTGAAGTTAGGGCTGTGCGATTAATTGAAATCGTCATAAAATCGCGATTTGAGCGTGTGCGATTTCTAAATCGCTTTATAGCACGATTTTCGTGCCCCCGACCTCCCGCAGTATGCTATCCGAACCAATCAGAATGCAGCGCGCCTAAATGGAGCACGAGAATAGAACAGACCGGGCGGGCATACAAATGTAATGCCAGGTTCACACACTCCGTCTGTGGTGCGTATTTTGTCCGCGCCCATGTTAACAGATCAGAGCGTTCACATTGCACGCGTTTGCAGTCCGGCAGTGCGCTCCAGGAGCGGTGCGTCTGCAGCAGTCATGCTGCGATCGTTTCCGCACGGAGTCTATTTCTGCTGTGCTGCACGCGTTGAAAGTAACAGCGCATTATTCGCGGTAAAAAATAACATGGATTGGCACGGAAATATTGTAATTACACCATAAATGCATACAATTAAAGTCTACTGTTTCACAGTCAACACATGGCTTTTTGGCTAGATTTAAAACAAGGAAAAGTGCACTTTTAGATAAACAAGGCAATAATAGATGGCACTCGTGGTGGTAGTTAACTAGTTCAACATCTGAGGCAACGCCACAAAGAGCTCTATGACCAATGCATGGCAAAAAAAAATTAAAAATGGAGAAATTTTTTTCTGCCATATGTCTATTCTAGAGACATTTTGTTACACATTTACTTAGTGATTATTTTGCCTTATGTCTGTTCTAGAGACATGTTACAGCTTTTTGATAAAGCTCTAATTGGTTTTCTTTTGGAAATATGTTTCAAATTCACACTGAATGCATTTATGACTGTAAAGCATGTCTGTGTGTGTCAAAATCGTGATTAAAATCGAAATCGCAAAATTGATCAACGAAATCGCAATAGGCTTTTTTTGTCCATATCGCACAGCCCTAATTCAAGTAGACATTTTTTACAATGATACTACAAGGCCTTTTACTTATTAAAACAGTATAATCTACTGTATCCATTGGATGATGAAAGACGTAGTACATTGTGCACAAAGGTTTTTTCAGCAAAGAAATGTATCATACTGATCATTTAGAGGTTTTAGAAAATCATGTTTCAAATATGATACTATAGGCTTTACAGGACTGAAATAGTGATGACTCATCTTATCCAATCAAATGATCTCTTGAATGAGATCGTCCTTTCCGCTCTCACTAGCAATAGCAAGCAGCAAATCATGCTTCTTGGCACTGACGTAAATAAAAGGCTACAAGCAAATACAGTCACGAAATCGCAATAGGCTTTTTTTGTCCATATCGCACAGCCCTGATTCAAGTAGACATTTTTTACAATGATACTACAAGGCCTTTTACTTATTAAAACAGTATAATCTACTGTATCCATTGGATGATGAAAGACATGTAGTACATTGTGCACAAAGGTTTTTTCAGCAAAGAAATGTATCATACTGATCATTTAGAGGCTTTAGAAAATCATGTTTCAAATATGATACTATAGGCTATACAGGACTGAAATAGTGATGACTCATCTTATCCAATCAAACGATCTCTTGAATGAGATCGTCCTTTCCGCTCTCACTAGCAATAGCAAGCAGCAAATCATACTTCTTGGCACTGACGTAAATAAAAGGCTACAAGCAAATACAGTCATGACTAAAATGGTAAACAACAGCCTTCAGCTTGACAGTATTCACACTATAGCACAGCATCTTGTAGCTTACTGTTTAAGACATCCGATCAATCTCAATAGCTGTAGGGCAAAAGAACATTAAGTTAGTGACACTGATCAATGGAAAGTTAATCTGAACTTCTCCTCGCTATAACTTCACGGCATCTACAGCCACTCAGTGAACACACACAACCCTTTAGCCATTTAGACCGGCTTGCAATTCAATCCACACGTCCATCAAATGCTTTTTCCCAAACATTATTATTTACTCTCTTAAACTCAGCAGGCTGCTTCAGCACTCGGCGGACTTATATAGTGCACTCTGCAGTGCTTGTTGACTGATGGACTGAGCTGTGTTAGTCCCCCTTATCTGTGCGTCAGTCAGACGTTTCAAACTCCGGTTGAAATCGATAGTGGGCAATACAGCCTGCCGTTTTTTGAGGCCACTCGAGAGGAGGCTGCCTGCCACTGAAGCTGCCTCCTAATGAGGGAAATCTCTACTGACAGCTCTCCAGGGAGCAACTCTCAATTAGCTGAAAGCCACACATTTTTCATGCAGTCGATCCAAAATGAGAAGATCTCTGGAGACCGAGGCAGCATTCCTACAGACCCTCTATGACACTACGTGTTGAATGTTCTCGGAAGCTAATCTATATATATATTACGGCTGTCAATCGATTAACATTTTTAATCTGATTAATCACATACTTTTTCTGTGATTAATCGCGATTAATCGCACACTTCATGAAATTAAGCATAGACCATTTATCTTGTTTCAAATGTTTATTTTGTCATCATTTGCTATCCAGTAAACCAAAAGATTGAAGGGTGATTCTCAAAAATTTATATTTTCTGAAAGCTTTTTTCAAGATAAATTCTGATGACTTTCCAAAAAAGGACACTTAGAAACTCCAAAGGGACACCAAAGAACCAAATGATATAAGGAGCCCATATAAGCGTATAAGAAAAAAAAAATCTGAATTTTATAGTATGTGTACAGTGCAACAACAAAGAGCTTTTTTACATTTTACAGAAGCCAAGTTGCGATATCGAACAGGACCACATGTTGATGCCAAAAAAACCTAAACCAACCACCTGCTGACTGCATATATCTACTACAGTACACAGATCCATTCAGCATAACTAAACACAGCAACATAAACATGACAAATCAAAACATTATTGTGAATGTTTGTGGAAACAACGTGAATGTATGTGGAAATGTCTGTGCATAAATACAATGTACAATCAGTGCGTCAAGAGCACTCATACACACATTATTATAACGGACGCGTGCTTATTGTACTGTACGACTCCTCTACGCCACCGCAATCGTATTTACCTTGATTGCAGTCTTCATCCATCAAAACTTTACTAATGAGACTGGTTATCCAGTCGAGAAAACGTAGTTTGCATCTCATCTGGCCATACAGCGGTGGGATGTGTTGACAATCCGTTCAGTCTGTACTTCACACAAGCACGTGACATGTGAGGACTCGCGCTCTTCAGAGACAATCACAGAATATGACAGAGCTCGTGTTTTAAAGCGAAACATACTGGAATGAATAATTCACTGAAAACGCAACGCGAGTCTCTGTTCTCTCTGCAATCTCTGATGTAATCAGCCTGGTTTCCTTTATATTGGCGCTGTTTTGGACGGATTGTTTGAATGCATTCGCTTACTTGGATCATTGGACTGAAAACTTTCCTGGAGTTTAGCGGCTTAAAATTATCTAATCGCAAACAGAGAAGCAAAATTGGGTTAAAAGGTTAGAATAGAAATTGTGCTTAATTGCGTTAAATTATTTTAACGCGTTAAGGACTGTAAAATGAATCGCATGCGTTAACGATGACAGCCCTAATATATATAT